GCTCACTGCAACCTCCACCTCCCAGGTTCAAGCAATTCTCCTGCCTCAGCCTCCCAAGTAGCTGAGATTACAAGTGTGTGCTACTACACCCGGCTAATTTTTGCATTTTTAGTAGAGACGCGGTTTCACCATGTTGGCCAGGCTGGTCTCAAACTCCTGACCTCAAGTGATCCGCCAGCCTCAGTCTCCCAAAGTGCTGGGAATACAGGCATGAGCCACTGCGCCCAGCCACAAATGGCTTTTTAAGCATGTGAAACGATGCTCAACCTCACTCATAAGAGAAATAAAATAAAAACAATGAGAAACTGCCGTTCGCTAATCAGACCGGGAAAGTTAAAAAAGTTTAATTACTCACTATTGGTGTATGCATGGAGAAATAGATAATCTGAGATAATGTTCATGGCAGTATAAACTCTTTGGAAGGGGAGCTCAGTAATATCAATCAAAATTCAAAATATATATACCCTTTTTCCCAGCAATTCCACTCTTAGGAATTAGTTCTACAGGTATATTCACGCATGTGCAAAATGATCTAATATAGTGACATTCACTTCCTCTTCTTTTGTAACAGCAGATCAGAAAAACTGAAATGCCATTACTGGAGGTCTGGTTAAGTAAACTATGGCACAATTATATAATGGAATATTCTGAGTTGTTAAAAAAGAATGAATCCCAGCCTGAGCAACATGGCAAAACTCTGTCTCTACAAAAAAATTCAATAAAGTAGCTGGTTATGGCGGCACGTGAACATTATTAGAGGTCTGGTTAAGTAAAATATGGCACAATTATATAATGGAATATTCTGAAGTTATTAAAAAAAAAATGAATCCCAGCTTGAGCAACATGGCAAAACTCCATCTCTATAAAAAAAAAAAAAATACAAAAAATTAGCTGGCCGTGGTGGCATGCACCTGTAGTCCCAGCTACCAGGGAGGCTGGGGTGGAAGGATTGTTTGAGCCTGGGAGGTCAAGGCTGCAGTGAGCCATTAGTGTGCCACTGCACTCCAACCTAGGTGACAGAGTGAGACCCTGTCTCAAAAAAAAAAAAAAAAAATCTAAAATTATCACATGAACTCATGCAGACATCTTTAATATCTCTATACACATATACATACACACTGCACACGCACACAAATAAATAAAACACATATGCACACATTCATATAAACGAATAAAACTTATACTGGAAAAATTTTGGAGGAAAGGAAGGAACCTATCTTTAAAATTTTAACCAACAAGATAGTAAATCAGTAGATTAACATATTTAATTTAGGCAGACATTAAATCTGCAGTGACTGGACTTGGGAAGAAGAGACCAAAAACAACCTTGGATTAAAAAAACAAAAGCAGCAGCTGTTGAGTGGGAACAAACTAATGGTTTTATTGTTTGTTTTCCTAATCAGACCATCTAAAGAAAGGCATTTCAAGCTAGCTTTAGGAAGAAGCAATTTCTGGCATCTTTGATTTTGAAAAATGATCATGATCAATTCATGGTTTGTTACCTACAAGTAAAAATAAAGTTAATGCAATACAACAAAATCGAATTCTTCAAATTAAAAGGTTTTTTCCTTTAATGGAACCAAAAGTCGCTAATTTATTTATTCATCAAACTTTGAGTGTCAATTATATCTAGAGTTAAGTTTGACTTAAGAGATCATTTTCTCTCAGAAACTATGACTTTGTACTCACCAAGGTAATAGATTCTGTCTGAATGAGGCCCATCTGGATCATTCCTCTTCACAAACATGAAATCATGTGGTGCCTTAGCCATCATGTAGCCATGATATTTTCTGGTATCAGCAAGCAGCTTTTTAAGCTGACTCCAGGAATACCGCTCAACATAAAACGGCTCCAATTTAGGCCGATCCTGTGATTCAATATTCTCCTCACAGTCTGCAGTTTCAAATATCTCAACACCCAGCTGTTCTGTTTCCATTGCTGCTGCCATGTTGCATTTTCCTAGAAAAACAAGGCACATGAAGCTGTTCACAGGTCTGTCTTCTATTATCAGAATGATTCTCTGATAGGTTCAAAAAAAAAAAAGCGGGGGGAGTGGGGAGGGCAAGAAAAAAATTCTTTTTAGCACAGCTGCAATGAAACCTAGTAAGAAAAGCAATAGCTCTCCCTTCCGTGTTCAGTTTAAAAATGAAATTAAAAAAAAAATTGAGGTCAGGTCTACTTCGCAGTGCCTATAAATCCCTTTGGTAACTTTTATAAAAGGCTCTCCTTAGGTATTTCTTGCCAAAACTCCCTTTTCTTTCCCACATTGGAAGGAAACAGGCCATTTGCCAGTTGGCTGCTATGCTCCACCCAAGAGCATGTCAATAGCGAAGCTAACTCTGCCAAGGAAGCTAAGTGTTTTGCATTTTAAAAAGTAACACATTTGGTAAGTGTGGATTTTTTTCAGCTAACAGAAATAACCACAACTAATGAGAACGGTAATAAAAATGTCAAAAACAACATGCATGTAATAACCTTCCTAGGATACTTCTCCAAGATAATATATTGTTTCCTTTTAAACAGAAAGCCAAACAAAACACTTGACTGGCTGGTACATTTTTGAGTCTTCTGCTCTTGCCTATACATCACTATCATCTTCATTTGTGGTGACTCTTTTTTTTTTTTTTTTTTTTGAGACGCAGCCTTGCTCTCTTACCCAGACTGGAGTGCAGTGGGACCATCTTGGCTCATTGCAAGCTCCACCTCCCAGGTTCATGCCATTCTCCTGCCTCAGCCTCCCGAGTAGCTGGGACTACAGGCGCCTGCCACCACGCTCGGCCACTTTTTTGTATTTTTAGTAGAGATGGGGTTTCACTGTGTTAGCCAGGATGGTCTCAATCTCCTGACCTCGTGATCCGCCCACCTCAGCCTCCCAAAGTGCTGGGATTACAGGCATGAGCCACCGCGCTCAGCCTGGTGACTCTATATTTTAAGGAAACGTATATGACTATTCTTACCAATCATACAACATATACTGATTAAATTGCAGAAGAAAAAGATACTATCTTAAAGTGGTTTTAATTAGCTGAAGTTGTTGATACAGAAAGCATTTAATATTTGTACCAACAGTATTTTGATAAAAGCATAAACTGAGGTTTACCAGTTCAACCCCTACTGTTTGTTAATATTTCATCTGCTAATAATGTTTATTCTCATTTCACAAATCCAGAAGTTGCATTTCTCCTTTATCTTTTCCAACATTTAACACGAGCGAAGTATCAAATAACAAAAAGTGTTATCATAAACCAGTGGGTATTCTAACATATATTATTCATGACATTGTCAAAAAGAAGGAATATAAAAATTCTGGGCAATCTGCTCTTTTTGAACTAATAAATGTCAAAGACATGTGGACTTGGGAGATAAACTAAATTGCATTTATGTAACCAAACTTAACATATCAACTACTTCTAAAATAATAAATACAAGGCTGTACATTTAATACATCTTTCTTAAAGCCCAAATTTGAAGGTTAACATCAATTCATAGTAACTATCACAGACTAAAAGTTATTAGCAGGTATGGATTGTGAATTAGTCCATTAAGCACACATTAGTGGCATGCCAAATAACTGAATGAACTATGTGTGCAGCTTATTTTGTCTTTTTTCATGCTGCAATTACCTATGTTACCATTTTCAATATAACAGTAATGAAGTGGCCAGAAAACCTATTAGACAGTTACATCAGGTATGCCTGTAATATTGTAACAAGTGAGCATTCACTTTCAATGACTAAAATCCAAAGCAGCTTGGCAGGGAATTAAAGTCATTTAGCTCAATGAGTATCCAGCACACTGATATTTACTGACACTATAAGACTGTGGTGGTTATATTCTATCATATGTTGTTTACTTGCCCTACTAAAAGCTAGCTAGTGGAGGCCTACTTTCTACCAAATGTCAATGGACCCAGTTTTTTCTTTTTTCTTTTTTTTTTTGAGGCAGTCTTGCTCTGTCACCCAGGCTAGAGGGCAGTGGCACAATCTCAGCTCACTGCAACTCCGCCTCCTGGGTTCAAGCAACTCTCCTGCCTCAGCCTCCACAATAGTTGGGATTATAGGCGCCCGCCACCACGCCCAGCTAATTTTTCTATTTTTTAGTAGAGACGGGGTTTCACCATCTTCACCAGGCTGGTTTTGAACTCCTGACCTCATGATCCACCCACCTTGGCCTCCCAAAGGGCTGGGATTACAGGCGTGAGCCACCGTGCCCGGCCAGTGGACCCAGTTTTATATCTAATGGACTGAGGGACAAATGAGAAAAGAAACTATACAAATTGGGCTCATTTTTCTCAACTTCGCTTGTGTTATGTTTGGAAGTTCATCTCCAAACCAGTGCTTGCAAGAATAGGGCTGGTGAACAGAACAGGGAAGCTCAACAGAAAGACCTCCTCCGAAGCCTTACTGTCCAGTTTATTTTTTTTAGACAAGTCTCACTGTTGCCCAAGCTGCAGTGCAGTGGTACAACCTTGAACTCCTGGAGTCAGAGGATCCTCACGCCTCAGCCTCCTGAGTAGCTAAGACCAGAGGAATGCATCACCATGCCTGGCTAATTTTTTAAAACTGTTTTGTAGAGATAGGGGTCTCACTATGTTGTCCAGGCTGGTCTTGAACTCCTGGCCTCAAGCAATCTTCCTGCCTTGGCCCAAAGTGCAGGATTATAGGCGTGAGTCACCAAACCTGGCCATGCCCAGCTTCTTATCATTCGCGTCACATCTTTTCTATGTAAAAGGTACATTAGCTTACATTTAATTATCTGGTATTCCTGAATTGTAGTAAGCCCTGGACACTCGATGCATATACATGCATACGTGTGTGTACATGTACAAACACTGTACAGTCCAAATGACAGTCTGCTATTCTGTATGTTCACAGCAAATGTACATCCTGCATTTCTAAAATATATCTGATATTATATAATATTGGTAATCTGTGCAGATGTTTGGTAAATGACTTAGTTCCAGATTATATACAAATACATTCTCAAAGTAGGTGATCTGAATTTTCTAATGTCAAAAACAGGAAAATAGGGTCAGTGTACCTTCTCAGCACAGTGCATATATCTCACTGTCCCACCTACCTCGTCACTTAAGTAGTTTCCCTGGTGCCTACCTGATTTTATTTTCATCTGCTCAGATCTCTTCCACACTCAAAGAGATCTTTTTCAAGTGACTCAATTTCAAGCACAGACTCCCTCTGCTCATCCTGCTCTTCTCACAGGAATCTTTCCTTTTCTCACCATCCAAGCCTGCTCACCAGGATAATGAAATAAGATAATAAGACTCTGATCATTAAGATGGACCATATGTGGTCAAAAAGAGAAGCCCCAAAACAATAGTTAAAACTGATACCGAACTACCACTTTTTGGGACAATATATAATGCCTAGATTATTTTGTATCTGCATTTTATGTTATCAAAACCCAAGAATTATCTTATTTCAAAGATGTGTAGCCCAATATAGTCAAAAGAATATCCTAACATAGTAAATCTTGGTGTCCAGACATACATTAAAAGGAAAATCATGGAAAGGCTTTTTAAAAAGTTACAAAAGGCGTACAGATGTGAAGTTACTCAGTGACTATTGCAAATCATCAAAAACGGCAGATGATTAATAAAATTTATTTTTATGTGCCTATTCCTGTTCCTGTTTTACATAATAATGTCATATCAAGTTGGATGGAGAGAGAATCAACTCAGGAGGATAGCCAGTAAGAGTTACAGGCCATTTTTGCAGAAAAGGAATTAACTTGAATTTAATAACTTAAGATATTTCAAGAGATAATTTCCTATTCATCTTAAGTGCATTCCATTTTTGCTTTTTTTCTTGCTGCATTACTCTGAGAATAATTTAAATAGGTAACTTTTCTGGAAAAAGCAGCATTAAACTTGTTGAAATTCTGGCTTAGGACAAAAAAAAAAAAAGGAAGGTCTGCTATTACATCTGTTACTCTATCAGTTTTAATTTTGGGCTCCCACAGCCCAAGGAGGTGATGAAGGGATTGGGTGGGAAAAGCTAAGTAGCAAGTGTAGGAAAAACAGCAAGGTTATGCCAGCACAGCAACAATGGACTAAAATGTCAAGACACACCATAGCACTAAGTCCCTCACTCAGAAATAGAGCATGCTGACTCAGAAAATACCTTTAGGACTCTTGAGTTTGGATCCACTCAAGTGAAATTCCTTAATTTTTAACTCGAGGGCCAAACAGCCGTCCACTTAAACACGTAAAGCCTCACTGAAGCCTAGCTAATCTCTCTTTGGGGGTCCACACCTAGTTGAGAGGTTCATTAGCACAGAGGGAGCAAAGATCTTGAAAAACTATGACTGAGGAAGAAGAGGAGAAACATAGCAGAGAATATGAGAAGGAAGATGGGAGGGATGCCAAGTCTTAGGAAGAAAATGTGTGAGGAGAGGTGTGGCAGGAAAGTGTCCTGTTGCAAGTGGGTGGAACAGAATGGGAGGGGCAGTGAGCAGGGAGGGAATCGATCTAGCATGAGGCAGGTGAGGAAAAATGACCACCAGCTGGGAAACCAGAAAATCTTAATGGGAAACCAGAAAATCTGAGTCCAGAGCCCATCTGCCAAGTTGGACTTAAGGAAAACCCCTTGGCCTCTGTGGGCTTCCGTTTCCTTATCTGTAAGCGCTGACAATACCCGGCCTCCCAACCCCAGCGAGACTCAATTAAGATAACAGACGTGGAAGTCAAGAGGCCAGCGCCCAGAGCTCAGGGGGCGCCCAGTGAACGGTGGTTGACTCGGAATCTCAGAGCCTAGGCTTCCTCTTCCGGCAAGTAGGGGGGGCCAGCCACCGGCTCTGCCCTGGACAGGGCGGCGCGTCGGGTAAACCGCAAAGCGCGCTAACCCTGAGAAGGCGCCGAGCAGTCTCTCCGTGAGGGGGAGAGGGCCTGGTGAGCCGTCGCTCAAGCCTCGCCGACGCAGGGGAAGGAGAGGGGGGCGGATACTGCACCTTCCCCCCCGGCCCCGCCCGGACCGTCCCGACGTGCGCTATGGAGCGGGCCTGCGCCGCTTCATGCTGCGGCGCCTCCACTCCAGTCCTGGTTGCAGTGGCTTCCTCAGCGGCGGCGCCGGTGACAACACAGGCGCCGAACGCGGCACTCAGAAGCAGCGGCGGCAGCAGCAGCGGCCTTGCCCTCAGAGACTTTAGCACTTCCGGTTCTTCGCCATCCGCTCTCCGACTGGCGAAGGCGCAGCCGGGCCAAGAAGGGCGCCGCTGTCTGCTGGGTGGGGTCCAACACCACAGCGCGGTCTAGTGGCTGGAGGAGCCAAGGAGGCGCGGGGTGGAGGCTGGGCCGAGCAGGGGATAGAGATGAAATCCAGAAAGGAACAGCGACTTGCTGAAAGTCACAGGGCAGATTGTGGCGCATCTGTAGTCAATAAATATATATTGAGTGCATGCTCAAAATAGACAACATTCCTGTCCATGTGCCAGGCAGAGAGAGCCTTAGACGCTGGGAGCAAACCGGGGTAAATCCCTGCCCTTTCAACGAGATGATTTTAAGAGGAAAGGGACTAGGGTCTTGGAGATCTAAGCGCCTCATTGTTGTGGTGGAAAGAAATCTGAACCTGGAGTCCGAAACTTGGCTCTAACATTAGCTAGTGATCTTTTAGCAGGTCAATCTAGTTGAGCCATAATTTCTTTACCTCTAAAAGGAATATAATACATTTCACTTAATTGCAATTAAAGAAAACCGGCTGGGCGTGGAGGCTCACTCCTGTAATCCCACACTTTGGGAGGCCGAGGCAGGCAGATCACTTGAGGTCAGGAGTTCGAGACCAGCCTGGCCAACATGGGGGAACCACATCTCTGCAAAAAATTCAAAACTTAGTTTGGCATGGTGGCGGGCGCCTGCAATCTCGGCTACTACTCAGGAGGCTGGGGAAAGGAGAATCGCTTGAACCCAGGAGACGGAAGTTGCCGTGAGCTGAGATCACGCCACTGCACTCCAGCCTGGGTGACAGAGTGAGACTTTGTCTCAAAAAAAAAAAAAAA